CTTTATGCAGATGACATGTCGGTGTTTGTTCAAGATATTGAATCTTTTAATAGACTAAACTCATTGTTGACTAGTTTTGCAGATATGTCTGGATTGAAGATGAATAGAGACAAAACCTTGGTATTATTGTTGGGTCCTAACGCGGATAAAGATGTAATAGTTCCATTTGGTAAGATAGTAAACATTGTAAAGATATTAGGTATACAGTTTACGTTAGACGTGGAAAGCCAGGAAAAAATCAATTACAAAGAAATCTTAAGTAAAATTAAAAAGCTGCTTATGTGGTGGAAACAAAGAGATTTGACTTTGATGGGGAAAATTCAACTAATTAAGACTTTTGTTTTATCAAAATTAGTATATGTATCATCACTCACACCTGTACCGCCGTGGGCATTCCGTGAAATTGAAGTGTTAATATTTGATTTTTTATGGAATGGAAAAGATAAAATCAAAAGGAGTACCATGTTTTTAGATTACGATAAGGGAGGTCTTAAATTGACAGATTTTCAATTATTTATTCGAACACAAAGAATCATGTGGATGAAAAGACTTATAACAGGAAATTCAAATATGATTTGGAAACGTTATTTTAAATACCTGACTAGAAAATATGGCGGCCTCTTGAATTTTTTCAGTAATGTATCGCCATATTTACTTGCACTGTCATTACCAGATTTTTACCGTAGCATGCTGGAGGCTTGGCTGGGGACAAAAGCCTTTTTGCTTAAGAACGAAATTTCAAAAAGAAATCAAATTATTTACAATAATAGATGTATCCGCATTCAGGGGCAAATATGTTTCCATGAAGACTTATTTCTGAATTTTTTTTTAAAAATACATCATATTGTTGATAAGAAAGATGAATTGAAATCTATCACAGAATTTAAGAAAATGGGTTTAAACAACATTGAAATAAATATAATAAAACAGTTATATGAAGGCATTCCATTCTCATGGAAAACTCTTTGGATATATATGAACATCCTTGTGAGGATACTGAATTAAGTTTAGAATTCATTATTAACGGAAACCCTCACTCTTTGCAAGGCATAACATCAAAATATATCTCTAGTACATTGTTAAAAATGAGAACGGAAAAATCTTATGCTACATGCAACTTAGAACCTACGTACAATATGGTCGAAAATGACACGAGAACAATTTTCTTAAGACCCCGAAAATCCACTATAGACAGAAAGCTGAGGGAATTTCAATATAAAATGTTATATAATTTAATTTATACAAATAAGCATCTATACACTTTCAAACATGTAGTGAGCAATCTTTGCTCCTTTTGCAATAAACACGAAGAAACCTATGAGCATCTGTTTTTTACCTGTGAAAAGGTAGCAAATATTTGGAAGGACTGCGGTGACCTTTTTTCTTTATCAGCATTAACAAATCTACATTGGCAAGAAATTCATATCGGGATAAAAAGATCCAATGTGGGAGAAGAACAACTGTTAAATCACATTATTCTTTTAACAAAACATATGATTTTTAAATATAGTTCAACTCAAAATAGACCCCCAATTCCTCAAGAAATTAAAAAAAGAATTATAGAAAATAGGCAAGAAGAAAAGGAATTATCGGGGGAGAGAGGCACTTTAACACTTCACTTCAGAAAATGGGACAACTTCCACAGTTAAGGACGGCGAGGCAAATACTTCTTTTTCAGACTCAGACATTTTTTTTGGTTTAAATATATAGTTTGGTCTTAAGGAAAAGGAAGAGACAGGATTTCCAACAAATGTGTAGATGTGAATGCTCGGGCAGGGAGGGGGGATTTGTTAAGCTTTGGAATGAAGGGGGGAACGGGGATATGTCAGTTTGTATGTGTGTCTAAGTATGTGAGCGTGTGTGGTGTGTCTGTCTGTCTGTAGGTAACTCTTTGATTTATAATATTCGTTCAGTGTAATTAAATGTAAACATTATGTACTGTGTATTAAACTATCATGTATTTTTTGAGAAATGTACGATTTTCTTTATATTTTGATATATGTAAATCAATGAAGCTGTATGTTTGTTTGTTATATATTTTGTACTGAATGAATACAATAAAACAATACTACAAAAAACAAAAAAAAAGAGCGGAAAGTTTACTATCCCGATATAAAGTGCACAATGCATTTTTCAATTCAATTAAGACACAGGGGTCCACGCTTGTGGAATAGTCTCTCAGAGGAAATACAGAGTTCAACAAATATAACCTAAAGATAAAGGTGAGTTCTGGTAATGTGATTGCATTGTGAAAGAAAAGGTGTGGAATGGATCAGAAATAGTTGATCATGTAGCATGTAAGTATTGGTGTGCACTGCAAGGTTCTGGAGTCCTCAAAATAATAATAAATTTGGCCGAGTCTTGGTAAAGTAACAAGCACTGTACACAGAAGGCTATATACGGGACAACACACATGGTGTCGGGGCTAGTACTACCTTGATTTCCTTGTCTTTCTATGCTCATTACTCAGCCAGTATACATTTTCTTCCAAAATTGTTTGGCACATGTCATTTATTTGTAATCTTGAACATTCAGTGTAAGTTTCGTTTAATTCTGTGAGAATTATTATTATATTTTTTTTTAACCAGAACCTGAGTTTATCTTTAATTTAAAGCAAAGTAGAAAAGGGTGCATATTGATGATTATTCAAATTAATTGTTTTCTACATTAAATTTACAACTACCATTCCCCCCCCCCCCCCACCCTCCATGTATGATTGCTGGTGTTTGATGGTGTAGTGTGTTACTGATTAATCTGCATAATAATATGTATTTTGTTATTGTAATTGTTTATACCATGTATTTTTTTCCCTTTACTGGGAACTACTCCATGCAATGTAAGGAATGCTACTTTAATTTCTGTCATTCTTCTCTTAATGGAGATAGCCATGTAAGATATCAGTGCAAAAAGTAAGAAAACATGGTATGCAGAAAGCTTCAGGATGTTTTGAGTTAAATAAATGATTTGAAATATGTTATCATTTAAATCAAGGTTCTTGTTTTTCGTTTTTTGTATTGATATTGTGGTCGGAGGAATTTCGCTTGACAAGAAAGTTGTGTGTTTTGTAGACAGCTGTTTTTTAAGGGAGCAGAGAAATCGGGAGGAACAACTTGGAGAAGGTTTCAACAAAATTGCCCAAATAAACAATATTTATGAAAAAGGTCATGTTTTGTTCATGCGATTACTTTGTGAAAGAAACTTAAAGCAATTAGGAAGAGACCCTAGTAGGTATTTTAATGTGATACATATACGCATCTATGAAGAGTTCAATTTGAAATCATGCTCCATACAGAAAATTAGTAAAATGATTACTCTAATAATTTGAGGAACCTAATTGTCTGTGAAGATTGATTAATTTTTACCCCATTACCCTGCAGTATAACAGGATTGATTCTCATTTGCAATCAGTAATGGGAAATGGTGGAAATTTGAAACGACATTTATCTCTTAACTTTTTGGTGTTATGGGTGTACCATTATTTGAAACAATTTTTTTCTTCTTCTTGTATGAGCAATGTGTTTAATTATTGGAGTCGAAACAAAATATATGTGTGTGTGGGTGTATTGAGACATAAGTGTGTGTTTGTGAGAGGGAATTGGACGGGTTGTGAGTGGGGGTGTGGGTGTGTAATGTGGGATGGAATAAGACATAAATTTGAGTTTGTGTGGGGTGGCCAGGCTGTGAGTGGGGTGGGTGTGTAATGTACGATGAAATGGGACATAAGTGTGTGTTTGTGTGAGGGGGTTGGATGGGATGTGGGTGGCCAGGTTGTCAGTGGGGTGTAGGTGTGTAATGTGGGATGAGATGAGACATAAATGTGAGTTTGTGTGGTTGGCTGGGTTATGAGTGTGGGTGGTCGTGTTATGAGTGGGGTGTGGGTGTGTAATGTGGGATGGAATGAGACAAAGGTGAGTTTGTGTGGGGTGCCGAATTGTGGGTGTGAGTGAGGATGTAATTGTGTAATGTGGGATGGAATGAGACATAAATGTGAGTTTGTGTGGGGTGCCGAATTGTGGGTGTGAGTGAGGGTGTAATTGTGTAATGTGGGATGGAATGAGACATAAATGTGAGTTTGGGTGGAGTGGATGGTGTTTGGGTATGTGTGGTTGGATTGTCAGTGGGGTGTGGGTGTGTAATGTAGGATGGGATGGGACATACATGTGAGTTTGTGTGGGGTGGCTGGGTTGTGGGTGGCCGGGTTGTGAGTGGGATGTGGGATGGGAAGATACATAACCGTGAATTTACGTGGAGGTGTGTGGCCGCGTTGTGGGTGTTTGAATATGTGGGTGTGTGATGTCAGGTTTGATGATATATAAGAGCGTGTGTGGGTAGGCGTGATTATGTGTGTGGGTACCCCTATAGAAAGAGGGGGCGGGCGCACCTGCAAAACCTAGCCATATGTATCTGAAATGGAGGATGCAAAAACCAAAAGGAGAGTTGTACTGTTCACTAACTGGGTTCACTTATTCCTGTTTTTCGATGTCAACCCCAAGACTACTGTATGCTCTCATTCCCATAAGTTTTATTGTAGAGGCCACTTTAAATGTTCCTGTAGGCCACGTGATAAGAGAGCTTTGATTATAAAAGCGGCACATTACAGTATGTCACCAATTACAGTACTACATTATGTCTGAAATCGAAATAACCAAACATCGCTGTAAAACAACTGTTATTCCTAAATCAGCAGATATGTCACTGATTTTGTTATTTGTCACTAAAGGGCTTTTTGAAACGCCCCCCTGATACCTCGAACTACTTTAAGTGCATTTACATATACATGTACGTTATGCGTGTGAATAAGTCGAACACAAATGATCTCAATGATTATGTCAATTTATATATAAGTAATTTACAAATATACCGGTACTCTCCTGCACTTAATACAAAGTATCTAATTATTACCCCGGATGTAGCTGAACCTCCCATGATAAGGAAATATTTTCCTTCTCTGTACGCGGGTGGAGAGTGGCAAAAGTAGCTTAATGACTTGCCGATCGGTTATAGGTGCCACAGTGAGACTCGAACCATGAACCATTTGATCCACAGTCCGCTGTTGTATCAACTATATGCCCCAACACGTCTACATTAACCTTGTCAACGCACTTCTGGCTCCCCAAATAGACTAACACTGCACATCGGTTTTCATGAAATTCCTCCAAATCTTTAAAAGTGCCTCGACATTATCATGAACATGCATCACCATGAAACTCTTGTCCCTCAGGGAACAGGTATCAGTAGGTCCCATGGTGTAAAGAAAACCTTCATTGTAGACCAGAGGCACCTGTATCTTCTTCATGAGGATACCAACGAAGACATCATCCCTTGAAGACAGCATTGGTGTCCGCAGTGCTTCCTGCAGAACGCGGACTACCAGGTCCATGGAAAGCACGTAGCCTCCACCCACGCAGTATTGCGGGAAGACCCTGCCGCTGTATTCTTCAGACGACACATGGTATTTGCTATTCTGATCCCTGTTGCGGTATTCCCTTCCTCCATCTCCTAGGTACAGTTCACGAAGACCCCTGCCATGGCTGTTCATCTCCTGCAGGAGGTTGATGATGTTTTCCAGATTTGCAAAGACATCGTCATCACCCTTCAAGAAATACTTTGCATTGCTGCAGTGATCTGCCGTCCAGGTCAAACCGAACATGTGTTTCAAGGTGAGGTTCTTGAACGTGTCGAGGAAATTCCCCTCTAGGAGATCACGGTTCTGATCGTGCTCTTCGTCCAAGGTTAATCTTAGCGCAGGATTCAATGGATCGGGTTGTCCAATGAGAAAGAACACCTTGACCTTCTTTGAGAGAGAACCCAAGAAGTCCTTGTTGGCCCAGGTTCCACGTATAGTGTCCCGGGAATGTTTACGTGCTGGATGGGATGAGATAAGCACTATCATGAACAAATCTTGCTCCACACAGCTGACCTCGGAACTTTCTCTAACAGTTTTCAAGACCGTTTTGAAATACCTGGCATTATCTGCAACTTTTCCCGCGTAGATTACATCCAGATCTGGGTTATCACACTCCTTCATGTACATCCTATCATGTAGCTGTTGCCAGATTGTAGGAATGTTATAAAAGATAGGGGATATTGCTGTGAATCGAGAACTCAAGGGACAAGCATCATTCGGTCCTATATGTTCCAGAGAGAAAGCGTGGCTATGTTTTACCTTCCAGCCATACGCCTCAGCACTAAGTCCAATCAGGGCATCAGCAAAAGGCACCAATGCTGGTGTTGACCAAGTGTATTTGTAGTGTTTTACCGCCAGGGCAAAAGGCATGATAATACCTCCTTGCAGGGAGCAGTAAACTGGGTAAAATTCACGATTCAATACGGCATTCCCGACGTAGAACTCGCTCGAGGCTTCATGAACAACTCTGGAAGAGTTGGATCGGGCCCCAAGAATAAACTTTGAGTTCTTTTCCTTTTTAAAGGTCCGTAGCAGCTTCGGCAGTTTGTCCAACCACATGAATGTTTTGTCGCTGGCCTCGATTACGTAATCAATTCGAGAACAAAATACGATAGTCCATCGAAGCCCAAGTAGAGATTTCATGGTGGTTGCTCGGACAGTATCAGTGAAATTCCCGACTAAAACATCGCCGTGTTTAGCTGACTCTTCCTTAAGCAGTTCTACCTCGTCCTGACTGGCTGGCCCACCCATTACAAATCTTACAAGAACACCATGTTTCCGACATTCCTCAGGGCTAGCCCATGTCTCTCGTATTTTACCCCGGAGTGCCACTCTCGATGGGGAAGAATGCAGAAGAATAATAACGCTTGTTGAACGCAGACCCTTTTTAGTACCATCAGCGTCACGTAGATGGCATTCACTAGAAAACCCAAACAGATCTACAAGTGCTTCAGAAAAGTACTTCCTGTGTCTGCCCTTATAGCTCAAAGCCTTTGCCTTATCAACTCGTTCTTTATTCGGAGGCGTTATCCATGTCATCTTGTGCAAGAATCCAACCACTCCTCCAGAACCTTGAAAATTCGCAACAGTCTTGTGGTCTCTTTCGAATGTTTCGATTAGTATGATGAGAAGGATGACAACTATTCCTACCCCAATCAGTTTGACCAATATCTTCCGGGTGGAACGATTCAACAAAGCCATGGTTAAAACGCTTTAATCGAGACTGTTTCAAATGAACCCCAGTCCTTTTGTTACAAATCACTTACTTTCTCCACAAAATCTATGATTATCCTTTATCGGTAATTCCAGTGCCAACATATGCTGCAGTCAGTACAGATCATGTACACGATACAAGTCTTTATAGGATTCTCAAGCTATTAAACTTAGAGCTAATACCCTATACACAGACGTTTAACAAAATCCAGTTCGCATATTTAATACGAAATAAAACTCAACGCATTTCGTTTTCATTTCATGGAAAATAGTTTCAACATTGAATTAATCTATATTCAACGTAGAACATTCACACAGGCGCACTTTTTTCAAAGATTACGAGCCAAGTGCCCAATCGTGTATTACTTTTTCTGCTTAATATATGCTAGTTTGTACTCAATATACTACGCCAATACGCAATACAGAGGGCGCCAAACGAACAGAGGCCCATGACAGTGGGAACACTCTCGCAACCGTGCCTCAATTGTCGCCTGCTATAATGCAGTATTGAGAAGGCGTTAAATATGACACTGGGCGTTTCGAACAGCTAGAGAGTAATTTCTTTGCACAATTGAAATCAGCAAAAAGACTAACAGATGTTGGAACTATCCATTGTTTAGTGGTCTAGTAGTAATCAGTTTTAGTAGGCCTACACAAATAACCATTCAAACGAGTAAGTATGCTCTAGTAATATTAAAATTCAGCTTATTCAACGATGACGATTCCCTTTAATCTATATCTTGACAATGTTACTTTAATATCAAAAAAGATAATTTCTCCGTCTCAATTTCCGTGTTCGTTCTATCACATACATCCCCCTTGTCATCTATACCCTTTTAATTCTAAGTTATACCACTATATCTTTCTCTTGCATAAGCTTCTCATTGAAAAATCTCCTACGACTATTTTGAAATATTTTTGATAAAGAAGTTTCTGCTTTATTAAACCCATTAAATAGAGATCGCGTGCTCGATTTTGAAATAAAAAACAAGTCTGAAAAAGTCTTGCAATCTGAGGGATCAAAAGCTGATTTCCATAGGGGTTCACCAACGTAAAGATATATCACACACTGGTAAAAATGCATTTGAAATGCAAATATCATATCTAGTAAATGAAAATTAATATTAGGAAACAATAATATTGAATATAAATCGTACAATATTTAAGAATGATAATACGGAATACTGGAAACATTGAATATAATACTAAATTAAATATATAATAACATATAAACAGGAAACGATAGATGGGGGTAAAAACGAAAGGCAAGAGCTAGGCTAGGGTATACACTTAAAGGGCGTGTATCATGACGAGAATATGTGTCTTTCCCGTGGCCCTACTCGGGGCCAATCGGGTATACTTCGCGAAACAGAAGCGTGAGGATAACTTCGGTCTGTTTCGCGAACGCTAGCGCGCGGTGACCCAGTTTAGCGCGTACTGACCCAGTTAATCAAGTCCATTCGCTTACGTGTAGTTGTTCTAACCAGTATTTCCCATGAAACACTCCCTTTAAATTAAGAGTCACTATGAGTCATTTCAAAAATACAACCCTGTTTATTAGTATAAAACAAAAGAAGTAACATGTGGATATTGATGAATTTGGACTTTCTTTTTTACCTCCTTCCATTTTCTCTCGTTTACAATATTACTCATTCCCTCCTTAATTCTGTTATTCCTTCTCTCACTAATTTCCTTTTCCTTCTTTTTCCCCTCTCCCTCTTTCTCGCTCTCCTACTTCATCAACACATTATTATGTATACATCTGCCCATGCCTTTTTTTATTGCCTACTTCCTCGTATCCAACATTCTACAAAATGGTGTTTTAAATCATATCCCATTTTTATTTATTAGTGGAATCTGTAAAGTGTATAATTCATCTAATTTCACTAAGTAACCTTTTGAATGATGGATTATACTTTATTTCACAATATTCCCATATCAATATGTAATCGTTGTACCTGGTTCTGCTCTCTCATCTGACGATGAAGCATTCAAAAACACTTACCTTAAAGCCTTATCTCCGGTTTTTGTTACTCCTGATTCTTACTTTTGCTTTTACGGTATCTTTTCTTCCAACACTAGTTCTTCCTCTGTTTTTCCTTTTCTTTCTTTCCATTTTCCCTTATGTTCAACCTCTTTCTTGTAATCTTGCTATCAGTATCGCTGCTTGAGATATTCTTCTGTTACTCCTATTTTATCATGTCTCTTTCTCCCCTCCCTTTCTCTCCGTCTCTCCCTTTTTGTATCTTCCTTTCTCTCTCTCTCTCTCTCTCTACGCTCTCTTTCTCAAACTCCCTCCTTCTTTCTCTATCTTCCTCTTTCCTTCTTCCTTTTTATCTCTCCACCTTTTCTCTGACCCCCACCTTCAGCTTTTTTTTCTCTCTCCCTTCTTGATTCTTCTTTTTTGTATGGAAGCAGGATATAAGAGGAACTGGTCAGTAGAAGTCTGAGCAAAATCCGATTAAAAATATGAAAGTTATGACTTTTTGAAGTTGCGATCAATCGAACACAAATTGGCAACTCTGTGACGTATCTTGTAAGCTCCCTCCAATTTGCTCTGTACCAAAATATGATATATTTTTATTTTTGCCCTAAAGAAATTTTCAAGTCATACATGCTCCCTAAATTTTATTGTTGCAGATACGTTTTTATAAAGCCCCTTTATGAAACAAATTTCTCCGGTCATCAATAACTAGGAAAATAACAGTAAATTTCTTTACAGAGCAAATTGGAGAGGAGTTCGCAAGATTAGTCACAGTATGTCACAGATGCAAACAAGTTACTCGGTAATATTTGTCACGGTCCATGGCTACCGGAACATTAATCATAAATATTTTACAAAATTGATATAGCCCCCATTTACATGATTAATATGATGTATGCTGTTTAATGAGCAGACAATGAGAGCTAATATTGGAGGCCCTATCCCAATATAACTACAAATGTACCAGAAGAGCGGATTTCGACTCCTTTAGATTGCGTAGTAAATTTACCTACAGGACTACTACTCCCCTCAGTTACTTCTGTAGTGTTGATTTCAGCTACATATCCATCAAACAAAAACATTTATCTGTATTGTTATTTCTCGTTTCCAAGTGCATTCGTCTCTCAAACCAATTGAAAACATACACAAGGACAAAGTGAGAACAAAAATAAAACATCCTTTTACATGTGTTTGATGATTTACGTGCACGTGTATTTATAAACCAAAAGTAAATAGATATTTACAATGTCATTATAAATATGGACAACTCGTATACATTCCTCTAATTACCAACCACATATTTTTTATGAAACGCATATCAATAATGTATCAAATTGAGTTTCGTATCCAGTTCTAAAGATCAAGATAATGGAATAATGAAATACGAAAGCAATTACTATTAGACACAAGTACTTGATCTTCCAACTCATATATATGCATCTTTTGTATGAACTTCGTGATTTTTTTCCTCACACAAACCTTTTTACAACACAATAAATAGTGCTATTCTAGTTAGTAACAATCCAAGGTATAATTGTCGGAATAACGAATGATATAATGTGTGTGTATTTATATATATACATATACATTACATATAAACAAGATGGTCCATAATACAGATACGTACATTTTTACAACAAGTACTTTAATTAGCTACATGCATTCCATGGAAATCATTAAGTATATTTTCTCAAATCCTAATGGTGATGTGAAGTACTGACGTAAATTGCATTTTTTTTAAAAATATAAATGCTCCAAAAATATAAAGAATAATATCTAACGTAATGCACGGCCATTTACAAATCAATCACTGTTTTATGATGTTATCCTAGTTGACTAAACCGAAATAAAATGACACAAATGAACAAACTTAAATATTGCACTAAACGGACCAAAATTCTGAACAGAAATAATATTTTACTATGTTATACCGTAGCCCCTCCGCACAGTGGGCCAGGGAGGAACCAAAGTGCGCCAAAACTCATGTTTGGGGATTTATTTTTTATAAATCCAGAGGAAATGTTTGAATTTCCAGGGATTTGCGCTAAAATTTTATTACCAACATTTTCTCTGATGTCTAAGCTTTAAGTTGATACCAGATTTGGCTGCCCGATTCTGCCCGTTATTATGTTAGAGCCGTTTTCCTTGCAACATTGCCCCGAAAATGTGTTTATTTCGGTCCGCGGTGTCAGAATAAGTGTCACGCGCCCCCTCGCGCCGTGATTTATGACTACGAATCCTTCGTGATTCAGCCGCGGACCCCCAAAACGCACATTTTTTCGGGGCAATGTGGCAAGGGAAATCGGCTCTAACATAACAACGGGCAAGATCGGGCAGCCAAATTT